CATCCTCGCCAACATTTGTTGTTGCTAGTTGTTTGAAGATGTGCCATTCTCACTGGGGTGAGGTGGTATCTCATTGTGGTTTTAATTTGCATCATGGAGACAGGGACTTTTTGATGGGGCCTCAAATTATACCTGTAACACTTGCACCTATAAACAGCTGTCTGATAATACTGCTTTAAGTGCAAACCGCACTTGTAGTTTAACAAAGTGATTTTATATACACTATTCAGTTAATAGTCACAACTGTATGAAGTCCAATGCAGGTTTTACTAGCCTTATTTTACAGGGAGGTAAGCTGGTCCATTAAAGAGCTTGGATATGAGAAAGCCGGCCTGGAACTTGCTTGACGTGAGACCTAGTGCCACTGCAACATCAACACAATGATTGGATGAACTTTGCAAAAATAATACCCCACCCAGGATGACCCACACTGCTTTTGGCCTTGACTTTTTCCATTTTAAATCTGAAGTTCCCACATTCAAGGAGACCCATTCAAGGAGATCAGACAAGTTTGATTTATACTTTTTTTTTTTTTAAGATTTATTTATTTATGCAGACAGAGCTGTGGTACAGGTCAGAGGTGCAGGGGTGGTGAGAGGATTCACCAGAGACAGAGTAGGGAGCAGAACAGGCAGATCAATGAAGTGCACTGTTGAGGGGAGCAGCGGGCGGGTCAGGAGAGGTCTGCGGTGCCATGTGGTCACCTTGGGGGGCCGGGATCAAACTCATGCTGCAGTGTCTTTAGTTTCTCAGTGCTGTGCTTTAACCTGCTGGCACCACCAGGGAGGGCCCCTGATTTATCTTTTAAGCAGAAAAGTCAGTGCTTATGGTCCAAGAAATCTTTAGTGACCCACAGTACTCTAATTTAATTTAGACATCAAAAGAAAAACACAAATATGATCATCACAGTAATAAAAATAATTATAAGTGAGGAATATATAATAAAGGAACCAGCTAGTTTATATTCATCTTTATAGTAATGTAGTCATAAAATATAAATTTCTGAGTGTTTTCATGAAGGAAGAGGCTCTGGAAAGAAAAAGTGCCCAGGACTCACAAAATTCTTATGCAGTCCTGGTAAACTAATCAGTTCCAGGCAAACTAGAAATATACAGTCTTAACCTCCTAACAAGGTGACCATGAAGGTTGATCAAGGCTGGGAAGCTCGGGGATTTCCCAGTGGTTGCCTAAAATCATGCATATTTCCCAGGCTTCTGATTTCCATGCCTCTGACTGCTTCCTTTCTATTGGGACATATGGAGCGTGGGCTCACTTTGGCTTCCCCAGAGAAGGGACTGTTGATCTGTTCTTGGGGAGTTCTGTGTATATATCCTGGGACTGTTCCCTATTTCTGTTTCCCTGTGGATCTGACCAGATATTTCTCATCCTTAACTTTTTAATGTCAGGTCTGGCTCAGCATCAGACACACCATCAGTACTCAGTGCTTCTTTATTGATTGAATAAATGAATGAATTGGTAGCCTGGTTTAGCCAGTTGCTTCTTATACAACACTGGGGCACTCACGGCTCTGGGCGTTTCATCTCTAAATAAATACAGTGGGATGATGAACTCTCAGATGCTTAGGGGGCACTTTATCATATATTCTCTAGGCCACATCATATGGCTTGGTCGACTTATTTAAAATATGTCATTAGCCATGAAAGCTCCCTGTAGATTCTTACTGTCACTGCTGTGTTCTCTCCTGCGTTTTCCTTTTAGATCCTCACGGGAAGACAACATGTCCTGTTCCACCTTGCGGAAAACACCTCCCACTGCAAAAGGTAATGATATTTCTCTTTCTTTGAAAAATCAAAAATGTGGCAAAACAACTTTCCTAATTGTTTACTTTAGATATGCTTAGAGGTAACAGTCTGATTTAATTAGTTTTGCTTAAGTTAGCCTTAAAAACAAAAACAAAAAGAAACAACTACTGTTTTTACTCATGAAGATTTCTTTTAAAAATTGACCACAATGTCCTTTCTTTGTGTGAACGTCTGTCTTTCTGGCTCCCATGAGATCAAATAAGTGACTGTTTCATAATCAAAACACTAGGACTTCTGGCTATTACTTACCAGGCACTTTGAAAACATTCCTGTGTGGATTTCCTAGTCATAATTCTCGGAGTGAGATGGCAACCCACAAAATCCCGGCTTGGTTTATCCCAGACCCGTGAGCCTCCTGAACTGCACTGGTGGTTTCGGTTGGCACCTGTGTAGTTTTATATGTTATCTCTGATGATGGGGTGTGGGATCTGTTCTTTCTTGCTGGGACATCCTACTTTAAAACAGTACTCACTTGCCGGTCTAGAAGATTGATGCGGCCAATCAGATGCACCGCTTAAGAGATCCAGGTCAACAAACACACGCTCGAGTTTATGGAATTGCTTCTCCTGGTTTTCCCCTTTTCTGTGGACAGATATGAAGAGCACTACTCAGGGGACCACACTGAAGCAGCAGGGTTTTCATGAGTTGAACAAAAGAAGAGCTTTTTTACAAGATAACAGCTGGATAAAGAAGCGTCCTGAAGAAGAACGGTGAGAGCCTGTGAAGAGGCTGAGTGGGTGGATGAGTAAAGAGAGTCATTCTCTGGGAAGCTACTAGTGGAAAGTGAATATTTTTCTTTCCAAAATGCTGTGTTGCGTGATTGATTTTTGGTGCGTTTTAGTTAGCATCAATTGGTTTAATCTGATAGAATATCTCTACTATTGTTAATGCCTACTTACCAAATGCGAGTCATTAGTGCAAGAAAGCAGGTTTAATTGTTTTAAGTAAATAGACATGGGCGCTTCCTTGATAAACTGAAAGCAAAGATGACTTTGCAGTTTCCAAAAAAGTCATATTTAGTCCTTGGTAGGGACGTTCCTAAGGATACTGATCACATCTGTTGAAATAAACACGTACCTTACAAATTTAATAGCAGGTTATCTGAACTTTCTATATGGGCAAGCAGAATGGTTAATTCCCAAACTTGCTTGAACCCCACTGGCCATACACCTTGAACACTTAGAAGGGGTAAATGTGGTGTTGGAGTTTGTAAGGAAAAACACTTAATACCAAGGAACTATTGTTTGCTTTGAGCCTTGCTTCTAATAGCAACATATTTGAAGAGATGAAAATGATGAACATAGGCATGTAACTCCATTGATAATAGAGACTTGTAACAGACATTTTCCCAGCAGATATACATTTATATACATATGCATATGCATTTTAAATTTCTTTTTATGTAATAGGACTGACACTAGTTACTTTATATTTAAACCATCACTAAATCCACACCAACCACATGAGGTTGGGGTTGTAGCCTCATTTCACAGGTGAGGACTGAGACTCAGAGAAGTTAAGTACTTTGTCCGATAGCACAGAGTTATTACTTGATGGAGATTTTAACATGTCTCATTGTCTTCCCATTAACTAATGGTTCTCCTGACTTTTTTTTTTT